ATCTCGGATGCGGAGTGGGAGGACATGTTGGAGGCCTTCGATGAGCGCGGTTACCTGGGAGTGAGGCGATGGAAACCTGGAGACGATCCGTACACACTGTACGCCTTCAACCAGAGGGAGAGCGAACGCATCCCCAGCAACAGAGCCCTGAGGGACACCCGCCACTACAGGTACACACACACACACACACACACACACACACACACACACACACACACACAACACACACACACACACACACACACACACACACACACAGGTCAAACAGCAACACAGCAGTTCTCCAAGCTCATAATGAATCTCCTATCTGCTCTGAAACAAATTTAGATTATGGAACCAAACACGTTTTCCCCAGAATGAAACTCCTCCAGATTACCACCCGTGCGTCCGCTAAGAAATTAAATTAAACACGAAAATAGAAATCCTCTTAGCGGAGCACGGCGCTCTCGTGATGGAAAGACGCTCGGCGGGTAAGATAAGGAGCTTGTCGCTTTGACAGCAGACGCCTTCTTACACATTTCTGCAGATAAAAAACTTCCAGGCACTTGTGGAAAGAGGTCCAGCACACACACACACACACACACCCACACACACACACACACACACACACACACACACACACACACACACAGACAGACGGACACACACAAATGCCAATACACAAACCGACCTACAACACACTCACCAACAACACACACACAGAACACAACACAACTCACACCGACACACACATCTCACTCGCACACACTGCACGCACCCACCTCACACAGCACACACCCACTCCACCCACACACACACACACACACACTCTCACACACACACAATCACACATCACACACACACTCTCACACACACACAACTCTCACACGCACACACACACACACACACACACACACACCACACACACACACACACACACACACTCTCACACACACACACACACAATCCTGAAGTGCTGTTTCCATGATGCTCTCAGAAATCGTAGTGCTTTGATCATTCCTTACACTTTCAGATGTGATTTTCTTCATGTGTTGAGGTTTGGATGTGTCTCAGATATCAGCAGCTTGTCAACATGTTACATCAGAGTGTTTCCTTCCCTGTTGAGATGAAGAGATGTTCATTTACATTTTCATGTGATTTCATGTCTTTTTCAGTCTCTTAATCTCCACTTATTTGCTTCAAATGAGTGAAATAACTGATTGAAGTATTCAAGCTTGAGGCGTTTTGCTCTTACATCACATGGGAGTTTTCTTGAAGTGTAGTGGACGCATTGATATCTGTTTTCCCTCGAATCCAACCTGACGTGTTTGAACTGTTTATAAGTGGACACTAGGGGTGTAACGGTTCACAGAAGTCACGGTTCGGTACAACAAGGAAAAGCAAAAAAAAAGTCCCAAATGCATAATTCCAGGTTTGTTGTTATTTATGTTTGAACAGTAGCAAGTTTCAGTTTAAAAATAAGGAACTCTGACATTTTGAATAATTAACTGTATTAAACTGTTACAAACAAACCACAAACACTCAGATGGCCATATTATCTATAATGGCTGAAGTCAAACAAAAAGGTTTCATCAAGCTGTAGAACTAAAAAGAATGTCTTGAAAATATGACATCATAAATAATAAGGAAGTGTTTCAAAAGCGCAAAGGTCGTTGAAAAATATTATGCCAAAAGCTTCCGTTATTTATTTTGGTCTCTCGGCTCTCATGTCTATTGGCTTCTTAAAAACAGCGGGGATCAGCTGCTGAACTGCTGTTGTCTTTTGCCGGGCTCCGGTGATTGGCCAATCTGGGTGATGCCTTCTGATGTGATGTCGCATGTTTGGCGTGTGTTAGTGTTACCATTAGCATACCGCACCACCACTATAGAACAACGCCAACACACCGTCCTCGTCCGATCCACCACTCGCACACTTCATCGTTATTGTAGTCCACAGGGAACCCGAAATGTTCCCACACAGCTGATGTAAAAGAAGCAGGTGGGTTCTAGCTCCTGTGTGTTATCTGAAATCGCCATACTAACTTTTCTTCTTCTTGTATTTTGTTCGTTTTGTTGTTGTGTTTCTTCTTGTTCTTCATTTGTTGTTTAAGGGCGGCTGGCAAACAGCTTTTAGGCGCAATACCGCCCCCTGGATTATATATAGTGTAGTGGATACTGCCCTGAATGACAGACTTTTTTCCCACTCGTAAAAAAAAGGCGTATTCGTCGTGTGACTGCATGTGCCGAACCGTGACGGTACGGGACGAATACGGATACCGTTACACCCCTAGTGGACACTCAACATAACATCAACGTTTTATCAGCTCATTTTAACAATTTGATCTCATGATTTCTTCTGATATTGTTGCAGATCTGTTGTAAACCCAGCTGTGCGCGTCATGTTTTAGTGTCCCCTGGTTTCCGTTGTGTTTTGCGCTTCTTGCAGTGTTTCGTTTATGCAGGTTTTCGTAAACGCTGGTCATTTGTTGTCAAATTGGTGACGGTGTTTCTTCATTTTCATGTGTCTCGGCACATTTGTGTTTTTATATTTGAATCCTTTTTAAAAGTGCAGCACGTTTCTCCTAATGGAAGTGTTTTGGGGAGTTGTAGCACGTGTGCACCTCCGTGTTTACAGGTGAGGTGCAGAGTTTAAAGTAGTTGAATGTTGCTGTAAGGAATAGAGAAGACAGTCCATGAGTGTGAGATGCTGTGGGTTGAAGCCCTATATGAGTTAAAGGGAAGTGTGGTAGTGGGCTTGTCGTGGATCCGATATCTTAAACACTCACTACATAACCAAATAGAAAACACATTAAAGCACAGACACAGAAGTGGTTGGAGTTCAAATATGATGTTGTTATGAGACACCCCTTCATCAGATGGTCATGTCTACAGAAGGAGAGACTCTCACACATGTATACACCTTTTGAACCACACCATGGATCTTACACAATCGTCAAGCCAATTATTATTTCCACCAACCGCTCCTCTTTGGGAACCGTAGAGCAGGAAGCTCCTGGAGAGTCTGCAGGAGAAGGGAAGCACTTTCAAAGAATGAAAAACCTCACTACAGATTATTCCCCTCCTCACGGAGCGTGTGCTGCGATCGTTTCCTCTGCCAACACCCCTGAGATGTACACGGCAACTGAGTTAACAGATAATCACATAGCAGCAAACCCACTATCTGTACACACACACACACACACACACACACACACACACACACACACACACACACACACACACACACACACACACACACACACACACACACACACACATTGCTGTCCTGTACCAGATAAATGAGCACTATCAGCCCCCTACCTCCCTGCTAGCAGATTAATGTGTAAGCGTATCCCTGGTTTCCCGCCTCCTTCACACACACTTCTCACTTTCTCTGTCAACCACACACACACACACACACACACACACACACACACACACACACACACACACACACACACACACACACACACACACACACACACACACACACACACACACACACCCCCACACTTCTCGTTCGCCTTATGTCAGCTCGACATCGAGTTTCCCCCCTCCGGATACACAGCAGATGATGCTGGCTGTCGGCACTTTTACACACGTTAGCACTCACATGTGGACACGTTAACACACTCATACTCACACACACACACACACACACACACACACACACACACACACACACACACACACACACACACACACACACACACACACACACACACACACACACATGCATGGTGTCAGAATCTATGATTGAGTCAGGGTTCAGATGCATCCCACCATCTGCAGGGTACATCTTGAAGACGCTATACACACACACACACACACACACACACACACACACACACACACACACACACACACACACACACACACACACACACACATGCATGGTGTCAGAATCTATGATTGAGTCAGGGTTCAGATGCATCCCACCATCTGCAGGGTACATCTTGAAGACGCTATACACACACACACACACACACACACACACACACACACACACACACACACACACACACACACACACACCACACACACACACACACACACACACACAGAGTGATGTATGGTATGAGCCAGTTATGCTAACAGATTTAGCTTCCTCCATGCGTCGTGGAGCCCTGCTGTGCTCGGCATCGGCAGCAGCTTCATCCAGGGTTTAGTCATGGAACAAACAGTCACCCAATTACCACCCCCCCACGCACACACACACACACACACACACACACACACACCCACACACACACACACACACACACACACACACACACACACACACACACACACACATTCACAAAACGTCGCACAATCGGCTCAAACAAACGTTGTCACAGCAGATTAAATGGATGTTTAACTGGTTTGGATTTTCTTTCAGAAACCAGAAATCCTTAACTCTTTCCACATGTTCCATACAGTGTTACAGCAAAGGGGACGGTGCAGGGGAAAGGCAACATTACACGAGTAGACTCATATTGAATAAGAAACACAAGTGCTGGATGCCATAAAGTAGCAGCGTTATAAGAGTTAATGAACAGAAAAAGTGATTTAGCGGCCAGTATTAACAATTATTATAATGAAGTTGGTGTTTTTGGGTCGTGGTCTAACTCTGATCTACCTTTCCTAAACATTTTTGGCAAATTAAATTGATATCTGAGGCATTGAAGTCATTAGAAACACAAAAAACATCTCTAACGAAAGTCTACAGGTATTACAGAAAGGAGAGTAAATGGACACAAACACTATCTGCCAGATGTGGATTAATCCGCCGCTGAAAATAGTCCCTACAAATACCCCCTGTTTGAGTAATGTTTGATATAAACTGGCACAGATAAATATAGTAAATAAAGCTCTTTTAAGGGTGAAGATGCTATTTTGGAAAGTTGCAACAAATGACTTTAAAGAAAAGCTGTGCTTGGATCCAATTCAACGTACATGTTAAAGTATAACATGCTGCGTTTTTCTCAAAAGAGATGTAGATTTGATTTGATAAAACCCCTTTTAATCCTCATGTATGAACCCCGGCAGCCCTCTGCTTGTGTTTTCTGTTTTCTCCCAATGTCTGCAGTTTTCCGGACATTTGTGGGCATCAACAAAAGAGTTTAAGGACTTTTTATGTAAGGACATAAACATGTTGTTGCTTTTTAATTCCACCGTTCAGTTTGATGTAGATGAGTATCTGTTAAACAAGCGGACAAGCCTTTGTGTTTTATTTGGACTAAACACATTAAAGCCTGTTTACTTTGCATTAGCGCTCATCGTGATTGAAGATAAGAGCACAACGATGAAAAAACAAACCTCTCCACGGGGTAATTCGAGGGAAAGACAGTGTTTGAGTGACAGCTGAGCTTTAGGAAGCGAATATAAAACAGAAAAGTAGAGAGGCTGCAGAGCAGTGGTCTGAAGGAGAGG